CTACTTAGAGAAACTCCATATGTGACATAAATATGATGACAATAGTTACTCCAAATCATATTATTACGGTAATATAATCCAATTAATAATACTATTTTATTATAATACTAATAATGAAGGGTATCAAATTAAATTAATGATACTTATGTATACTTAAAAATTAAATGTAATTGCAGTGGGTATTAAATGTAATTACAGTAGGTATTAAATATAATTACATTAGGGTATTAAATGTAATTGTTAATACTTATAACCAAAAAAAAACAAAAACAAAAGACTTGCACAGTAGTGGGGTATTAAATATAATTACAGTAGGTATTAAATATAATTATAATGGGTATTAAATATAATTATAGTAGGATATTAAGTATAATTATTTATTCTTATAACAAAAAAATTATAAAAGACAGAAGAGCAGCGAGAATTAAATGTAATTATAGTGGGGTATTAATATAATTATATTGGGTATTAAATGTAATTACAGTGGATATTAAATGTAATTATAGTAGGGTATTAAATATAATTATTCATAGTGAACCGAATATATTACTGTTTCGACCGAAACGGTCCGAAACAGTGCCGTTTCGACCGAAACAGTACCGTTTCGATCGAAACACTAGAATTTTGTGTTTCAACTACTGTTTCGTTTTAGAGTGTTAAAATTCTGAAACGTTTTGGACGTGTCGACACGACATTTTGATCCTTGTTAGGAGGATTACTATCAGGGGACATGAGAGAGATGAATTGTATTATCTAGGCAATTCACCTCCAGTTTCACCAGTTTCTCGTTCTATTTCAGAGGCTATGCAGGAGCTCCAGTGAATTCTTGCCATACAAACGGAGATGGACGCTCTTCAGCGTAATCATATGTGGGATCTTGTCTCTTTACCTTCGGTGGTGAAGCCTGTTGGCTGTCACTGGGTTTACACCTTGAAGTTTCTTGCAGATGATACTATTGATCGTCACAAGGCTAGACTTGTGGCGAAAGGCTTTACTCTTCAATTGGTGTAGCCAACCACGTGTCAAAGGTAGTCCTCGTGGCAACATTAACTACTGTTCGATTGATTATTTCTCTGGCTGCGGAGTATTCTTTGCCTCTTCATTAGTTGGATGTGAAAAATGCATTTCTTTACGGTGATCTGGACGAGATTATTTATATGGATACACCACTAGGATTTTGTGGTGATGGAGAGTATACTGGAAAGGTATGTCGACTGCGGAAGTCAAATGGACTGAAATAGTCACTGCGAGCCTGGTTCTCTCGCTTTAGTGATGTAGTTGTACGTTTAGGGTTCACTAGATGTCATTCTGATCATACCTGCTTCATTCGACGGAATACTTTTGAACAGTGTGTCATTCTTTTAGTATATGTTCATGATATTATTATTAATGGAGATGATGTTTCTAGGACTGCGCAGGTCAAGGTAAACCTTGGGAAGACCTTTGATGTAAAGGACCTTGGATTTCTGTGATACTTTTTTGGAATTGAGGTTGCCTGTAGTAGCAATGAGTATTGTTCTTTTTAAGAGAAAGTATGTTCTGGATCTTCTCTCAGACACTGGGATGTTGGGGTGCAAACCGGTATCATCACCCATGATTCCAAACCTATAGTTTACTACTGAAGGTGAGGAGTAGAAAGATCTAACTGTCTATCAGAGGTTGGTAGGTAGACTTATCTACCTAGCTAACACTAGGCTAGACATTTCATTCGTTGTCAGCCGTGTTAGTCAGTTCATGCACAGATCATGTCAACCTCATCTTAATGCAGTTTATCATATTCTTCGGTACCTCAAATTTTGCCCTAGACTTGAGTTGTTCTATGCATCAGGATCTTAGATTGATTTNTGGCTGCGGAGTATTCTTTGCCTCTTCATTAGTTGGATGTGAAAAATGCATTTCTTTTCGGTGATCTGGACGAGATTATTTATATGGATGCACCACTAGGATTTTGTGGTGATTGGGAGTATACTGGAAAGGTATGTCGACTGCGGAAGTCAAATGGACTGAAATAGTCACTGCGAGCCTGGTTCTCTCGCTTTAGTGATGTAGTTGTACGTTTAGGGTTCACTAGATGTCATTCTGATCATACCTGCTTCATTCGACGGAATACTTTTGAACAGTGTGTCATTCTTTTAGTATATGTTCATGATATTATTATTAATGGAGATGATGTTTCTAGGACTGCGCAGGTCAAGGTAAACCTTGGGAAGACCTTTGATGTAAAGGACCTTGGATTTCTGTGATACTTTTTTGGAATTGAGGTTGCCTGTAGTAGCAATGAGTATTGTTCTTTTTAAGAGAAAGTATGTTCTGGATCTTCTCTCAGACACTGGGATGTTGGGGTGCAAACCGGTATCATCACCCATGATTCCAAACCTATAGTTTACTACTGAAGGTGAGGAGTAGAAAGATCTAACTGTCTATCAGAGGTTGGTAGGTAGACTTATCTACCTAGCTAACACTAGGCTAGACATTTCATTCGTTGTCAGCCGTGTTAGTCAGTTCATGCACAGATCATGTCAACCTCATCTTAATGCAGTTTATCATATTCTTCGGTACCTCAAATTTTGCCCTAGACTTGAGTTGTTCTATGCATCAGGATCTTAGATTGATTTTCTAACCTGTTATTCAGATTCAGATTATGGGGGAGCGTGTGACGGTCGATCTACTACGGGCTTCTGTATTTTTCGAGGGACTCATCTTATCTCTTGGAAGAGTAAGAAGTAGTCAGTTGTCTCTCGCTTNCACAGATCATGTCAACCTCATCTTGATGCAGTTTATCATATTCTTCGGTACCTCAAATTTTGCCCTAGACTTGGGTTGTTCTATGCATCAGGATCTTGATTGATTTTCTAACCTGTTATTCAGATTCAGATTATGGGGGAGCGTGTAACGGTCGATCTACTACGGGCTTCTGTACTTTTTNATCTTGATTGATTTTCTAACCTGTTATTCAGATTCAGATTATGGGGGAGCGTGTAACGGTCGATCTACTACGGGCTTCTGTACTTTTTGAGGGACTCATCTTATCTCTTGGAAGAGTAAGAAGTAGTCAGTTGTCTCTCGCTTATCAGCAGAGGCAGAGTATCGAACACCAACACTTGACACATGTGAGATTATCTGGCTACGATCGATTCTTGGCGAGTTGGGATTTCCATTGACTTTTTCATCTACATTATATTGTGATAATTGTTTTGCTATTCTGCTCGCTTCTAACTCTGTATTACACGAGAGGAAGAAGTATATATAGATCGATGTTCACTTCCTTCGGGAGAAGATTAGCAGTGGTATTGTCACTCCATCGTTTGTGGGGACCAGTGATCAGGTTGCGGACGTTTTCTCAAAACTTGTCACTCTATCCATTCTTCGGGAATCCATTGTCAAGCTTGACTTAGTTGACATTTTTGNAGTGGTATTGTCACTCCATCGTTTGTGGGGACCAGTGATCAGGTTGCGGACGTTTTCACAAAACTGGTCACTCTATCCATTCTTTGGGACTCCATTGTCAAGCTTGACTTAGTTGACATTTTTACACTTAACTTGAGGGGGAGTATTGGAGTTATAGCAGCCTAGTTTATTAGGGTTTATTAAAGTTTTCCTTTTTTTACCTTTTAATCCTTATTGTAACTTTCATTGACTATATATACGGGGCTCTACACTTAGTTTGTATCCCTTTGACTCATACATATTCCTCTTCTCTGACAAAGAAATCAAGCCACAATCGGATATGGAGAGAAAAGAGAGGCACATAAAGCGCTTTGGAACATTATTTTCAGCTGGCATGAATAAGNTTTTTTACCTTTTAATCCTTATTGTAACTTTCATTGACTATATATACGGGGCTCTACACTTAGTTTGTATCCCTTTGACTCATACATATTCCTCTTCTCTGACAAAGAAATCAAGCCACAATCGGATATAGAGAGAAAAGAGAGGCACATAAAGCGCTTTGGAACATTATTTTCAGCTGGCATGAATAAGATAAAATATGTTTTGCAGTGCCTGCATTGTGGAATTAAGAGAGCATTGTAACCAGAAAAACCAGTCTCGCTCCTTGATGCCATATTCAATTTTTTTCGGATCTGACCAATGTTCAGGTGAATCGGATCTTGCAGCACTCACTAGTAAGCCATAGAAAAAGAGGGAGAAAAAGTGAAAAACAATAAGAAAAGATAAATAAACATCAAAGCTCTTACTTACATTGTGCTTGCCATTAAGTCTTCCCAATCTTGAGCTCACGCTAATGATACGAGCACCTGAAGCAGAAGGCCTCATTAACGGAATCACAGCTTTAATCATATTTTTGGTGCCAAAGTAGTTGGTTTCAATAACTTTTTCAGCAGCTTCAACAGAATTTTCTGTTCCAACATTGAAATTAACCCCTGCATTGTTCACCTTACAAGTTTGCATATAATCAGTTGCGAGTGCCCAGCCACCCAAAAAAAAAATATATAAATAGACATATATATAAAAGTGAAGAAGACAGATACTACATGATCCAGCCAAGAAAAGGAAAAAAGTATGGCAGCAGTTATATAGCTCTTTGTTTTCTAGTGTTTCCTCAGTTGCTAAAAACGGCAGTTAGGCACCCTCCAGGAAAAAAACTGCAGCTATGCACTTATAGAGCATTTTGTTTTCAGTTATTAATCAGTTGCTAAGAACTGCAGCTATATAGGGCCTCCATTTTTCAGTATGACGTGATGGGAATGTGTAACAACTCCATTCTGCACTGAATCTAAGCATTGAATTTGAAGAAGTGCAATATTTCTTATACTAGGAAGATCTGACTTAATGAATCTAGAATCAGCTAGTGTGTTTTTGTGATATTACCTATTTCAGAGGATATATTTTTTGATTTTTTCAGACAAAATGTCAGAATAAGTTCTTTATTCTCTCAAAAAGAACCAAGGAAATTTGTAGTCATTTTGTAAATAAATGCAAACAAGGACTGGAGCAGTCAGCAACATAAAATCACATGAACCAGTCCAGTATAGCTGAACACAATCAGTGATAGGAATGAAAGCACTCAAAGCAGTATTGCCATCTTACCAGAATATCTATACCACCATAATTTTGTTGTACCCACTCAATAAATACTTTTATAGATGAAGGATCAACAACATCCAGTTGATGGACCACCACATTCAAACCTCCTTCTTGTAAGACCCTTGCAGCTTCTTCACCAACAGCTGTCTCTCTTGATGTCAGAATAACTGTCAACCCATGTATTGCAAGTTGGTGGGCAATCTCAAATCCGATGCCTCTATTTGCTCCTGTTACCACAGCAATGGTGTCTGTGGACCACCATCTGGAAATGCTCCAATATTAATACAAAGATATGCTTAAATGTCAACTGTTTACAGAAAAATGTGATTTGATAAGAAAGTACAAGTCATCATGAAATTAAATGCATGCTCAGTGATGTGACTATGAACAAGCAAAAAACTGATAATGGGCATTTAAGATGACCGATTAAAAGAGAATTTTGTTTTGTTTTTTGCAGCAGATGGGTCCAAGAGTTAAGCAAGCTTAGAGGGAAGTGTGTAACAACACAATAAAAAAGGATAATTGGAAGGAGTAACCATTTAGAAGGACTGAGCAGGCTAGGATGTGGACCGAGAGGAATTCATATCCCAGAAGCGACTCAATATAAAATTGAACGTGAAACAATGATCAAAGATGATACTCGTAGATGCTAATAATGCATTTACTAATCGGCAAAACTTGATCCTAACATAAAAAAAGACATAGTCCTTACAGAACTTTTTGAATCTGGCACAAGAATAACAGTTGAAAGCATGAAAATCTGCACGAGATTTCTCTACCACACAAGATAGGCATGATGATACCAGTCTTGGGAAATTGCGACATAGATGAAAGAAAGCAATCCATATGTGAAAAAATATATGTATAAATATGTATTTATGCATGCATAGACATTATTGTGTTGATAACAGCTAACAACTTTTANTACCACACAAGATAGGCATGATGATACCAGTCTTGGGAAATTGCGACATAGATGAAAAAAAGCAATCCATATGTGAAAAAATATATGTATAAATATGTATTTATGCATGCATAGACATTATTGCGTTGATAACAGCTAACAACTTTTACCATTTATGTGTTTATTTTCTTAAGTTTCTAGCTTAAAATGTTAAAGTAAACCTTATTAACTAGCAAGAGTTGGGTTGCACGACAACAAAACTTAACCTTATTATACATCGGCTTTTCTTCTCTAGAATTAGCCTACAATTTGAAAGTGCATGCATGTTCTTTTACTCCTTTTCAAACAGTTATACTCCAATCCCTACACTAGAAATGCCACAAGTCAGTTTTCAAGTAATGCCAACAAAAACCACCAAGTTAAAATGTTAAGACATATAAGATATTCAGAAGTAAACATTAATCCTAAACTATGGACAGGTTTATGGAATATTAGATGCATAACTATAAAAGTCTAAATAGTACCACTATGCTAATACAAACCCGACCCCTTTATAGAGTATCTACGCTTCGTAGGCACAAGTCTGGTCCAATTGCCCATAATAAAAACCTGAAAAACTTAAAAAGCAATTGTGTTCCTGGAACTACGCTTTTAATGGAGACCAAAAGACTATTAACCAATGTTCGTNTTAAAAAGCAATTGTGTTCCTGGAACTACGCTTTTAATGGAGACCAAAAGACTATTAACCAATGTTCGTCGCGCCAACGAGGGCACCCGGGTTTTCATTGGACACCCAAATAACTTCTGCAATGATGTACAATGTGGCTATCCTCATACCAAACCCATGCTCTCACATTGGACAACCTGAGCTAGACCACCTCACCAGGCAACGACAAACAACAGAGATGTCTATTTCGAATTCAATAAACGCCCGGCAAATAAAACATTGGGCAGCATACAACACTTTCTCCAATAATATAGACTAAAATACAGTTCAATAATTGATAATTAGCCCAGAAAAAATCAACTTGTGTGATCATCTCTCGAGAATCGCAAATCTAAAATCAATTAATTTCCCCAATTCAGCATTCAAGCAATTACCCAGCCCATATATAAAAAAGGGCGTACTGAGGACAAAAAGACTCCCGCCATTACGGGGATGTATACCCCAGCATGAGAAGTTATTTTTGCAACTCAAACCGTGACCTCCAGATCAGAATAGAGCAACCTTATACATGTATGGTCGTAAAATGGATCTCACGAAACCAAAACCGGCCAAACAATTGAGATATGTAGTAAATTTCAAAAGATTGAACTTCACAAAATTAAGGCTAGAGCTTCAATTAGTGTCTAAAATTCAGGAAACAGATCATAAATCCACAAAAATTAGCGCAAAGAAACATATAAGTTAATGAGTGGATATAAATTAGTACTTTTGGTGATCGGAATAAGGAATGCTACGGAAAAGCAAGATCTCATGGCGTCTCTTCTCTCTTCGCTCCTTCGCCCTCTCTTTCTTGTCCATTCTCTCTCTTCCTCTCTCCCTCTGTCTCTGTCTTGCTACTTTGTCTCTTTCCGTTAAGAAGATAACTGAATCTGCGTTATTTTTCCCGCTATATTTGGAGCAAAACCCTCCCAATTCGTCGATGTTTGAACCTTGAACAACTACCTGCCACGTCACTCCACTGAACTTGGTCAAGATTTGAAAAATGATATTTCAACCTATGGTAACATAATGTATCACAACCATAGACTTTATGGCGAGTCCTTGAGATGGCAGTGGACAAAAAAAAAAAAAAAATCGAATATTCGTTTAAATTCATTTAATTTGGATTAGAAATGGATCAGATGTATTGAACACTAGATGTATACACAGATACCCGTATCAACTCATATGAAAATAAAGGTGATGATGGACTAAAACTCATCCTCGTTTCGCCCCTTCCGGTCCTGTTAAACCCGTGGTATATATATAATAGGGATAACCCATGCTTGAGATACACTACAATTAAAAAAAAAAAAAATCGAACATTGAATTTGAACGCAAAATAATTAAGTATTGAATTTGGACATGTGCTAAGCTGAAAGCTTAAACTTGTCCTACACCCCATGTTTGAAGGCACTATACATAGTTCTTGAACAAATAATTGAGCACTAAACGTAGAAATGGATTAAGCTGAAAATCATTTGGTCATTTTTAATGTCCTAACTTTAGTGATATAAAAGGGGTCAAAATGCTTTCGTTTCGGTTATTAGAGGGATGATTAAAGTCTAAGTATACCATTTATGTTATTTTAATCTAAAAGAATTTATTTGTTCTTTTAAAAATATTTGGACATAATTTTTTCTAAAAATATGATCCCAATAGATTATCAACCTGTATAGACAATCAATAAAATACTAATTACACAATCCACCATCTAAAAAATGTTAACTTACACCAATAAACTGTGAAACCAATTGCACTCCTCAATTTATATTGCATCAATTCAATCAAATTGTGTTATCTTTTTTAAACGAAGACCTACAAAACAATTTGTGGTGCCTATAAAATGGACCAAGTAAAATGTACGTGTCTATACAATAATGTATGCATATAAAACAGTAGAAAAAATCATTCTTCCTACACGAACAACTATATGAATACTTGTAAAAGTGATAGACAAAATATAAGATTCTCCAAAAATGGAATAAACTAATTTGTCAATTACAAACAATTTTAATCACACAACAAAATAATATAAACTATTTTAAAATCAATCTATATCTAAATGAATGAACAAAAACCAAGTAAGACGTATTGAATTACATTTTAGGTTTAAAATTTGCCCAATTCAAAAACAAAGCTCCCTTTTGGCTTATATTACTAAGAGAAATTGAAATCAATGTAAGAAACTTTTAACTTTTTGATAGAATATTTTCTGAAAATATGATAGCACAAATATATCAATCTGTCTATAAAACCTATATATTTCATAATCATAAACAAACCATGTCTTATGCATGTTGAAATCCAACTATGTACCAATTACTACAACACCAATCTTCTTACATGAATAACTATATGAAATACTTGTAAAAGTGATAGACAGAACATAAGATTCTTAAAAAATTGAAATAAATCCATAAAATTTTTCAATCACAGACTACTTTAATCACAAAACAAAATGACATAAACTACTTATAAATTAATCGCTATCTCAATGAATGAACAAAAATCAAGCAAGAGATATTGAATTACATTTTGAGTTACTAAATAATTTGCCTAATTCAAAAATGAAGTTCTCTCTTACTTTATATTAATGAGAGAAATTGAAAGTAATGTAAGAAACTTTCAAATTTTTGGTAGAGTATCCTCTGAAAATATCATGCCACAAATATATCAATCTATCTACAAAACTTATATATTTTATAATCATAACCAAACCATGTCATATGCATGCTGAAATCCAACTATATAACAATTATCATAACAACATAACAATTTTTACCATTGTCTTTACTTAAACACAATTATTTACTGACTACCACAAAAACATCATAATATTATCCATCGTCATGCCTAAACATGACTATTTACCAATTACTTTAGGCATCACAACAATAATAATCATTGTCCTGCCTATTTCGAACTATTTACCATTGCAAAATTAACCCATAGTTTTGCCTAAACATAAATATTTACCAACTACCACAATAAGATTAAAGAATGACCACAAAACTTAATTATATAGTACATTTATAAAATGGGCCATTCTTTAATCAAGTTTATTAAAATAGGTCATTTATTTGCATGTTTTTTGTAAATGTTTTCTCTCCATCCAACCTTGAATATCATTATATCAATCCAAATCTGCATTTTCCAACTGGGAGAATGTACAACAATCTAGTATTTACAAAAGCAATTAAATTTAGTACATGACAGGAATTATAAAAATTATAAACTTGGAAATAAAAAAATAAACTATAAAAAATAAATTTAGTTACCTTATTCAAACTAAACCATTGGAAAAGATGGGTTGCATTTTATTTTTTTAACTCTAGTACTTCTTCATCCTAATTCTACAGATATTGAATAAAATTGTGAAGATAAAATAGCATTGTTAAAATGTTTGCAATCAGTAGAAATAAACTTGCAAATGATTTATTATATTTTGTCCTTGCAGAAACAAAACATCAGGATATACAATATTTGTCGTACAGTTTGACCCATCTTTAGGTAGAAGGACGTGTACATGATCAAAAGATGTGCATCTAGATAACGCCACATATAAATGTCCATGACTAAAGACTAATGTTAGCAAATCAACTCCAACAAATTTCATAGATTGTCATTGAGACTTTTTAATTATCATAGCATATGTTAATCGGATAGGAAATNACTAGACCACCTCACCAGGCAACGACAAACAACAGAGATGTCTATTTCGAATTCAATAAACGCCCGGCAAATAAAACATTGGGCAGCATACAACACTTTCTCCAATAATATAGACTAAAATACAGTTCAATAATTGATAATTAGCCCAGAAAAAATCAACTTGTGTGATCATCTCTCGAGATTCGCAAATCTAAAATCAATTAATTTCCCCAATTCAGCATTCAAGCAATTACCCAGCCCATATATAAAAAAGGGCGTACTGAGGACAAAAAGACTCCCGCCATTACGGGGATGTATACCCCAGCATGAGAAGTTATTTTTGCAACTCAAACCGTGACCTCCAGATCAGAATAGAGCAACCTTATACATGTATGGTCGTAAAATGGATCTCACGAAACCAAAACCGGCCAAACAATTGAGATATGTAGTAAATTTCAAAAGATTGAACTTCACAAAATTAAGGCTAGAGCTTCAATTAGTGTCTAAAATTCAGGAAACAGATCATAAATCCACAAAAATTAGCGCAAAGAAACATATAAGTTAATGAGTGGATATAAATTAGTACTTTTGGTGATCGGAATAAGGAATGCTACGGAAAAGCAAGATCTCATGGCGTCTCTTCTCTCTTCGCTCCTTCGCCCTCTCTTTCTTGTCCATTCTCTCTCTTCCTCTCTCCCTCTGTCTCTGTCTTGCTACTTTGTCTCTTTCCGTTAAGAAGATAACTGAATCTGCGTTATTTTTCCCGCTATATTTGGAGCAAAACCCTCCCAATTCGTCGATGTTTGAACTTTGAACAACTACCTGCCACGTCACTCCACTGAACTTGGTCAAGATTTGAAAAATGATATTTCAACCTATGGTAACATAATGTATCACAACCATAGACTTTATGGCGAGTCCTTGAGATGGCAGTGGACAAAAAAAAAAAAAAAAGAATATTCGTTTAAATTCATTTAATTTGGATTAGAAATGGATCAGATGTATTGAACACTAGATGTATACACAGATACCCGTATCAACTCATATGAAAATAAAGGTGATGATGGACTAAAACTCATCCTCGTTTCGCCCCTGTTAAACTCGTGGTATATATATAATAGGGATAACCCATGCTTGAGATACACTACAATTAAAAAAAATAAAATCGAACATTGAATTTGAACGCAAAATAATTAAGTATTGAATTTGGACATGTGCTAAGCTGAAAGCTTAAACTTGTCCTACACCCCATGTTTGAAGGCACTNTTCCGGTCCTGTTAAACCCGTGGTATATATATAATAGGGATAACCCATGCTTGAGATACACTACAATTAAAAAAAAAAAAAATCGAACATTGAATTTGAACGCAAAATAATTAAGTATTGAATTTGGACATGTGCTAAGCTGAAAGCTTAAACTTGTCCTACACCCCATGTTTGAAGGCACTATACATAGTTTTTGAACAAATAATTGAGCACTAAACGTAGAAATGGATTAAGCTGAAAATCATTTGGTCATTTTTAATGTCCTAACTTTAGTGATATAAAAGGGGTCAAAATGCTTTCGTTTCGGTTATTAGAGGGATGATTAAAGTCTAAGTATACCATTTATGTTATTTTAATCTAAAAGAATTTATTTGTTCTTTTAAAAATANTTTTGAACAAATAATTGAGCACTAAACGTAGAAATGGATTAAGCTGAAAATCTTTTGGTCATTTTTAATGTCCTAACTTTAGTGATATAAAAGGGGTCAAAATGCTTTCGTTTCGGTTATTAGAGGGATGATCAAAGTCTGAGTATACCATTTATGTTATTTTAATCTAAAAGAATTTATTTGTTCTTTTAAAAATATTTGGACATAATTTTTTCTAAAAATATGATCCCAATAGATTATCAACCTGTATAGACAATCAATAAAATACTAATTACACAATCCACCATCTAAAAAATGTTAACTTACACCAATAAACTGTGAAACCAATTGCAGTCCTCAATTTATATTGCATCAATTCAATCAAATTGTGTTATCTTTTTTAAACGAAGNACAATCCACCATCTAAAAAATGTTAACTTACACCAATAAACTGTGAAACCAATTGCACTCCTCAATTTATATTGCATCAATTCAATCAAATTGTGTTATCTTTTTTAAACGAAGACCTACAAAACAATTTGTGGTGCCTATAAAATGGACC